CTGGGAAGCCCTTATTTAAGGAACGTGATCACGTCACCTCGGCCCAGCGTGGTGACGTCACGCGACGCAGAGGGCGGGGCCGTGCGCCCGGAGTCGTTCAGCTGGCAACTGCGGGGCGGGGCTGGCCAGGTGGGCGGGGCTGCGGGTTGCACGTGGTCCTAAGAGGTCCTCCACCTCCCGCAGGATGACAAGTTAGGAGGAGGGCCGGTGGCCAGCACAGCACTGGGGCGGCCCCAGCGGACTCATCTTGTGATCTTAGCCCACTGTCTTCACTTCCCTAACCCTGACATCAGTAAGATGCAGATGCTCAGTAGGGTTTTTGAAAGGATTAAGTAGAACAAGAGATTAACTGTGCTCAGCCACAGTGCCTGGCACATAGTAGTAGCTCCTCCACTCCGTGCCCATCCCAGTTTAGATTGCAGTTTCCGCCTAGTTTTTTTTCTTTTTTTTTTCATGGATTAAGGAAAGATTTATTGAGCACTGATAATTTGTGCTTGGTGCTGGGTACATCTAGGACTAAGACCAAATACCAGTTTTTCCAAGGGCTTTGGATGGTTGAGAATCTAAGATATTTACATTATATAATTATAAAACAAAATCGGAAGGGATAAGCAACATAAGAAAGGTATATAGAAAAGATGATGTGAGGACAGAAAGGGAGAAAAGTTACTAGTGAGAGGGACAGAAGTCTGCTTTGAATAGCTAAAAACATGTGCGAGTACTTATATGTCAGTTACCACATTGGGCACTAAACATGTCAGCTCATTTGAAGATGTTAAAGTATGAAGATGATGGGAAAGGGCATTCTAGACAGAGACCAGCACAGGGAGTTACATAACCGCATTGCATGAACAGAGTCCAGTTTGTGTGCTATCAAGAAACCATGCTCTAACTCTTAAAATGTTTTATGATGTTTAAAGTATGTTAACATAAAAATTATACCTACATTAAAAATATCCCTTCTAACAACCCGGAGGTAGTTTATTTTGCCTGGAATGCAAGGTTTATGAAGACTAGTAGACAAGGGTTTGGGAAGATAGGTTGAGATTGGACTACAGAAGATTTTATAAGCTGAAGTACAAATTTTTACTTTATTGTGTAAGAAATAGAATGCTGGGAGGAGAGGTGAGCTTATAAGCAGAGGAATGATTCAATCAGATACACATTTCAAGAAAGTTTATCTGGCAATTATTATTGAATGAGTTGTAGGGCAGAGGCTGGTTAGGAGACAGTGCTTGTGAATACTTGGAGATCAACCAGTACAATGATGCCCTGGCACTATGTAGGTAGCAGTTATTATTAGGTGTGATATGGGTGGCCTGTGCTAGGATAGCGATGGACATCCCGGCAATTTGGAGTTAGTGTGTTGGGTACTATCTCATAAAGCATACAGGCAGAGTTGGAGTCCTGTCCTAGTCTTCAGCAACTGCTCAAGGGCTCCTCCAGAACTCTAAGCACTCATGCTGCTGGGATGCACCGGCCCACAGTAGTGTGCCGTGGTAACATCACCAGATATGGCCTGTGGTGAGGTTCTAGATTATCATCAGACAGGCTACTCTGGTTTGGTTTATCTTGGGTTCCAGGGGTTGCAAGATACGACACAGAATCAGATTTCTTAGAGCCAGAAGGAACGTTGGAGATTATCTAGTCCAACTCTCTTGTTTTCCTGATAAGGAAACTAAGGCTCAGATTGTCAAGTGACTATTCCAACATTGCATGATCAGGGATAAAGCTGATACTAAAAATCAGATCTCATAACTTTTGCCATTACGATATATTAAATATAAGCATCTCTTTATGCTCTGTATTGTAAACCAGAAGCAGTTTAGTGAAAAGAACATCGATTTTTGGAGTTCAGAGTATATGGATTTGATCTGTTTCCTATTTATTGGCAGTGTGATCCTAAACATGTTGTGTCTCTTCTTTGAGCCCAATTAGAGGAGACAGTATTAGCTCACCTACAGGATTGTAGTGAGGATTAGAAGTAATATGTAAATGAGTAAATATGCCAAAATTAATATGTAAAGAGTAAATGTTAAACAAATAGTAGCTATTAGTATATACTTTTTCTGCTCCCCCTGCCGCCAACCCACAATACAGTGGAGGTGGCATTGAAAACATATGGTTATAATACAAATAAGAAGTGATATACACAGACATTATAGAAGATTCTATGGGAACACAATGAGGAAGAAACTCTTTTAGACTGAGACACTTTAGAGACATTTCAGAGAAGTCTGATTTACATTGGGAGTGTCCCGAGTAGAGAAGGGACTGTGCATTTTCAGGTGTGAAAAATAACAGAAGTGTGAAACAGCATGTTCTGAGGAAGGGGAAAAGCTACTGCCGTGTGTGTGTGTGTGTGTGTGTGTGTGTGTGTGTGTGTGTGTGTGTTTGGGGAGGGAGGAGAATGAAGATCATTGGAGGAGAGGGCTAGAGAGGATCTTCTTGCCATGCTAGAGAATTTGTGCTTTTGGACTTCATTCCCTGGTAATAAGAAAACCTGTGTGTGTGTGTGTGTGTGTGTGTGTGTGAGAGAGAGAGAGAGAGAGGAGAGAGCGCTTTATTGAAGTGTAATCTACCTACCGTAAAATTCACTCATTTTAGTTGTGTGATTCAGTGATTTTTAGTAAGTGTAGGGAGTTTTGCAATGCTCAACATTACCAAGTTTGGAACATTTCCATTACATTAACCTGGAAAATCATTTGTGCCCATTTACAATTAATTTTTCTTCCCACCCTCAACCCCAGGCAAACACTAATCTCCTTTCTATCGCTATAGATTTGCCTTTTTCTGGACATTTCATATAAATCAAATCACATGTAGTCTTTTGCATCTGGATTCTTTTCTTAGCTGAATATTTTTGAGGATCATCCATGTTGTAGCAGTAGTAGTAATCATGTAGCTGAATTGTAGCCCATTTGTGGATATGCCTCATTTTGTTTACCCATTTGACAGTTGACATTAGGTGGTTTGTACTTTTTAGCTATTATGAGTAATGTTGCTGTGGACATTTGTATACAAGTCTTTATGAAATTTGTGTTTTCATTTCTCTAGGTTAGATACCTAGGAGTGGAATTATATATAAATTTATGTTTAACTTTTTAAGATACTGCCAAACTGTTTTCTAAAGTGGCTGTACTCTTTTATTCTTTGGAATTTTAAGCAGAAGAAAGATTTGGTTGTCCATATCTGCTAAACAGGGAAACAACCCCAGAAGTTGAATGAGAAGTCAATTTCAGTTTGAAAGAATTTATAAACAGTAGGTACTTATTTCAAGTTTGTGAACGTTTCATAGGATCACAAATTTCAAAAAGAATGCTTACAACTGCAAGCATCTAGCTAAGTAAGGTTATCATAATTGTTACTAGATGTGTATTTCTTCTTGTGGATGAAACCAAGACAGAGAAATGTGCAAGACCATGTGCATCACAGCACATCAGCGGTTAGCCTTCCCAGCCTACGAGGATGGCTCTATCTTTTCACAGACCTGGCATGAGATGCAGGCCTGCCTCACACCAGTCCATTTGCTCCAAATGCACATTGTAAGTACTAATAGAAGTCTAATTTTAAGGGGCTGATCTTGCCCCATGAAACAAAGCTTAGTAGTAACAGTAGCACTAACACATGTGTGGTCAGGTCTTACTGACTAGTCTATGATTACTTCTTTGGCTTTATCTCCAAGAGTTTAATAATAACCTGTTTTGTTTTCTTTATCTAATTCTCCCATGAGATCAGTATAAACAAACTGTCAAGTGTCCCTCTTATGCTCCTATTGAAGTACCCTTTTGGAAGTGGAGCAAGCTAATCCATGGTGGAGAGGTAAGTGTAAATCATTTTTTATCAGAAGGAGCTTAGGCATGAGTTTGGCCAAAGGCCTAGAGGTGACAGATTTCATATATTCAACTTCACTATTTCCATTTACTCTCAATTTTCCAAGATGCTGGAAGGCGGTGAATATTTATAATTATATGGAATTTGACAGTCCACAAATAGTTCACATGCATTATGTCATTCTCCCCCTTCTCTGAGGCAGTTGGAAATAAAGGCAGGATTCGGGACTGTTTATTACATGAGACAATTTTAGGGATCAAGTCAAATATTTATTTTACTGAGTGCAAGAGACACACAGGTGTTGTAGTGTGTGTGTAGGAAAATGCTGACTTAGTTGCCTTTATTCTGATTTCAGAATATTTTATAATTTAAATGTCCTTGATGTTACTTTAAAAATAACTTATAGTGAGGTTTTTGCATTGTTATAAGAGTGTGATACTTAGCTGATATTAAATGTATTGGCTTACTCCTCTATCACCTACTCAAGAGGAAGGATGGGGCTGGAGGAGGCAATGCTAACCCCAGTAAAGAAATATTTTTAGTCTTTGGCATCATTAAAATCTTTGGCAGCATTTCTGATGTTACGTTTTAAAGATTTCTAAAGCAAAGATGACAAAGTCCTGTCTGCATCCAGGAGTTCTCCCCTCCTACTCTCAGAGCAGGTGTCACTCGTCAGTCATGACCCTCCTCTGAGACAGGAAGCAGCCTCAGAAGCCTCTATCAGTCAATAGACATTAGCTCACAAGTGAAAACTTCCTTCTTTGCCTTCGCTGATCAAAAAGGCAGTTTGATCCTTGTACATGTTTTCTCTCTGCAAAATGGAAATGAATTGTTTTTTTAAAAAATACTATACTATAGATTAGTGCTTCTCAAGCTTTAGTATGCAAAGCAATCACCTGGGGATCTTCTAAACATGCAGATTTTGATCTGGTAGTTCTGGGGTGGTGCTTGGGA